TAATAATCATGATTTTTGCCAGAGGAGGAATTGGGAAGGCATTTCAGTTGTGTGGGAAATGGGAAATGACGTACCCTATACTGCAGCATACTCCATACCCTTGATATACTGCATATTTGAATAGAAGAATGACGTAATAGTATTCCCCTGTGTCAGAGCGTTTATCCATTCTCGATTTTCTCCCATTTAGCTATTTTGCATACGTGGCGACGTGGGTATTATTTCCGGCAAAGCTTTCAGTACCATTTAAATCTAGGGATTATATTTGTTTAATTACAGTTAATGAAACATATTTGTTTTATAAATTATTTCCATTATCGCCTCTGTGAGAAAAGGTATAAAGATAGAATTTATGATCAAATTATAGTTTAAATCGTGTGTGGGGGATTGGTTTAGCTTGGGATTGCAGTGTGACCTGGCAAAATGCAAACCAACATCCTTGAAGTTGTTTTGTGTGGACAGTCATGCGAGGTCATATTCGGAAGCAGGGTGGTCAAATTTTTCTCAGATGACGCGGTGGTGGTGTCACATTGTATGTCGTTTTTATTATAATTTGACAGCCATTATTTATAACAAAGATCTCATAATTATGATTAATATTTGTATTTGCCTTATATAGCGGCATACTACACACACACACACACACACACACACACCACACATATGTGATTCATATACATACATACATACATACACACACACATATATATATATATATATATATATATATATATATATATGTGTGTGTGTGTGTGTGTGTGTGTGTGTGTGTGTGTGTGTGTGTGTGTGTGTGTGTGTGTGTGTGTGTGTGTGTGTATCCATTTATGTACGTGCACACACATGTGCATGTGAACGTACGCATTATTTCATATAAAAACTATTGATATATCACATACATCACCAGTAACATCAGCTCTCATATCATGGGGTAATCATGATCTTATCCAGTTCTTCCTTTCAAGATCTACACGTAGTTCGCTCAACGCTGGTGAATATCTATTTAACACTACCTGTTAAAATGCAAACTCTGTCGTAACTGCCCATTGAAACGAACTTGGCTACGATGACATTTATATCACGAATCTGCAGAAAAATCAATAAAACGGTTCGGAATATGAGAGATATATGCAAATGAATGATGACTGCATACAAGGTATTCATCCTTGGTAACAAAAAGTCATTTACATACCAATCATTCCATTTAGTAATTCTATAATACGAGGACAGTTGATATGCGATAAATAAGGAAGTAATTTTAGACGAGTTTTTATTATCTACACTATTTCCATGCGGCTGCGGATGTAGATTCGTTGTGCGCATTTCATACTTCATCTTAAATGTAGTTGCAGGATCGGAGCCATGAAGCAGAGAACATAAAAGAAATTCTTTAAACATTTAAAATTTTCCGGCATCGTATTTCGACCTCGCCAATATCCTCTGACCTTTCCATTGAATTGATTGTTTCGCTAACGAGCACCGGTAACTGCTGGTCGTTACTGAATTCTGATTGTCTCGAAGGCTTAGAACGTAAATGTGAACATCAAAGCTGTCATATTTTTCTATGACGGAGAGCTGGATTAACCGTCTGAAAGAGGAGGCGTATCAGTGGTTATATATGGTATTAATTAATCTGATATTTATAATCTGCTTTCTCTTCATTGGTTAACCATCATCTTAATGGGGTTAACTAACACGGCGTGAACTTGTCCTTCTACTGTATTGTTTTATAACCATTCTTTAACAGACGAATACCGAAAAACGTTACATTATGAAGATACGTTGATGGAATCTGATAGATAATCAGATAAATTAATCTAGGAACAGAATAAGAGGACTTAACACACCTCGGAAATCAACGTTACTTCAACTTAACGAGAAACATAAACGCAGCATTATCATATGAATTTCAAAAGCATCAATACGAGCCTTTGCCAGGAAAGAGGACCAGACGCCGTCGGTGAGCGGGCGCACAGCCTCCTCGCGCGGCGTCAGGACCGGGCCTCGCTGCAGGGTCGCGGACTCTATGGCGACCAACCAGACGCAGGACCCGCGAGGAGAGAAGACAGAGAAAATATTGAGAAAGATAGATAGATAGATAGATAGAGAGAGAGACTTAAATATAAATGCATGTATACGTATACTCATACATATATAAGCCTATAATCCCAGCACGGAAAACTCTTAAATGATAGAACTCTCGACCTGCCTTGCATTTGAGACAGAGATGAGATAAATTTCACCAGCTGAGAATATTTTGACAGTCAACGAAATATGTCATTTTCGCTGTCTGAGAACGTTTTTGCCTGTCTGAGAACATTCGTGGATATCGCCCCCCGGTATGTCATATTACATCCTACAATTATTAATCCTTGATCTGTGCTCACAAGTTTTAAAA